AAGCCATTTCCTTCTTCCTTTTCTCAACTCAGTGATTTTTGTTGTTATCATATATTCTTTCTGTTGGTTTATCCCCATCAACATATAAATATCGCCTAGTGGAGTCCATAAAAACAAACATCCCTGCCCCCTCCCCAATTCGTCTGTTTCATGCTACTCTGCCTAAGTGGCTTATTAGAGCTTCCCAGACAGCTGACAATGATCACCTGCTGCCAAACCCTGCCAAATAGTCAGCAGCATTTGACACACTGACCCACTACTTCCTCCTTCTGGAAGTATTTTTATCTTAGGTTTCCGCATACCCTTATCTCCTGTGTTTTCACTCGACTTTACTATTTACTCCTCTGTCTCCTTTGCCAGTTATTCCTCCTCTGTGGGATGAAATGCTGACATATGTTCAATTCTAGCCCCAACTTCCCACAGTATTTATACGTTCTTCCTAATTTCCACCATCTAGGTCTACGTGATTAAAACTTCTTGTAGGCTAAAGACTCCTAAATCAATATGCCCAGGGATGCTTTATTCCCTGATACCAGAGTCATTAACACAAATGATAGCCATGTGTCCAATTGCTTCCTCAAGTTTAGTGTGTGCAATATAGATTTTTGAACGCCAGTATTCCCTTTCAGACAGCTATCCCCAAATGTCTCTCCTTCACCGTTCTAATCACCCTATCTACCCTTGACCAGCCAAAATCCTGGCCACTATTTCTAATTGTCCTCTTTTCAGAAACCATAATTAGGCAATTTTTGTCATTATTGTCCCCAAAGTACACTCTGAGTCTGAGTGCTTTTACTTGATCAGCTATTCATGTTGTACAGATCAAAGTCAACTTGACTCATCTATTCCAGTACAGAGAGGTACAAATATGTCCTTGCTGTCCTAAGAGCCTGTCCATTTTCCATGCATGGGCATAGGGTATGACAGTTTCGAATACCAATCAGGTCAAATCATATCCCCACTTAAAAATCCTCCCCACATTTCATTATAAGAACACTACAGAGTGGTTATGCTCAGAGCACCTATATAACCTGGCCTTTGACCCATTTTTACAAACCTATGAAGGATTTATGCACATACTGGCTGCAGTAATTAATTTTTCTTAATTATTCTTCCCTTTCATCATGTGACCTTGTAAGTCATAAAAGTGGGCCAAACATGTTTGTTTATGATGCTTGTGGAGATGTCAGGTGTGTTTTTGATGTCTGCTGAGGTTTCTTTCAATCTCTGAATGTTGTGAATAACATATAAGCTAGCGCTGGCCTCTTAGCATAAACTGTAGAAGGACTTGTAGGGAAATATGAACCAAAGCTGAATTCTGGTACCAAAACTACCCCACCATATGCCTGAATTAAATTAGTCCCAGTTGACCATAGCAGCTTTGAAAGTGCAAACCATGTACCACATGCATGTCTAGTGCTTGCAGAGGTCAGAAGAGTGCATTGGAATCTCTGGAACTAGAATTACAGATGGTTGTGAGCTACCAGGTAGGTGCTCAGAGCTTAAGCTAGGTCTTCTGCTCAGTTGGTAGAGGATGAGACTCTTAATTTCAGGGTCGTAGGTTCGAGCCCCACATTGGGTGCCAGACAATTCGATTATATCACTAGCAAGCCACAGAGCCTGCTCAATGAACAAAGGAATTTATTTGGGGGTTAACTCACAAGATAGAATAAAGGAATTTGTTGCAGGATCCTGGAAGGGTGAGGCATGGTCCAACACGGTTCTCTGGCAAGCTGTGCCCTGATCTGTACCAGTATCTAAAACCACAAGGTAGCAAAGAGTGATAGCATATGTGCATCCCAGGTATTAAGGGTCCCCCAGTGGTCATGCCCCAGGGGCATGTACCTCAAGGTCATAGGCAGGTGTAACAGCTACCTGCTACCTCAGTAGGGGCGGTGCTTCAGGGCATGGCTCAAACAGTCACCCACTACATTACCTTCTTCCTTAACCCATGCTGAGAATTTTGCGGGCTTGATCTTGTGCAGGTCTTGTGTATGCTGTCACAGCTGCTCTGAGTCATGTGTGCAATGGCCCTGTCATGTCTGGCAAATACTATTTCACTGTAGATGTCTAGATCTACCATCACTGGCTCTTTCAGTCTTTCTGTCTGTCTTGTGGTTATCCTTGAGCCCTGGGGAAGGAAGTATGATGTAGATGTCCCATTTAGAGCTGAGCACTCCACAATCTAATGCTCTGTACACTGACCACTTATGGATCTCTGTACTAGTTGCCACTTAGTGTACAAACAAGTTTCTCTGATGAGAGCTGAGAGACATGCTAATCTATGGGAATAATGCTGAGAACTTAGGGGCGGTTTAATACTACGTCTATTTAGCAGAATAATAGTATTCTGTTTTCCCCCTAGAGCCTACGACCTGGCCAGTCTGGGTTCTTGGCCCACTAAACAGCATCAGGCACAGGTTCCTTCCTGTGGAGCAAGCTTTCTCACTCCATTTTGTAGTGACATAGAATGTTCACTTAGACTCATGTTTCAATAATTTGGCCCCTTTAAACTGGCATAGACAGACAAGATGGAATACTGTACCAGGCACTGTTATTTCTTTGCTCAGCTTTCAGCCATTCTGCAAGTGATGGATGAGTGATTCCTTGTGTTGGGAGCTGGGCTGGAAAGTCGAGTATGTTGGTGAAAAACACTATACTTGTCTCATGAGGCTTGTAAATTGGTGATGAAAATTTGGGGTTTGGAAACTATGCAAAAACACTGAAATTTCGGGTTGCATAAAAACATTTATGCAATATCTTAATTTTAAAAAACAGTGTGTATTCTCATATACCTTGATGTTTGACGAGAACAGAACTTTTCTTTCTGATTAACTACTGTTTTCAAGCTTTCACAGAGAGTGGACCAACATATATTTATATCAACTTTTATTTTTTAAATGATGTTAAACATTTTTTTTCTATTTTGTTTTAAGTTGGAATTTCAAAAGTGGGGTTAACCTTGTACACAATTATGACAGGTAGCAGAAACTTAAAAACACAGATTTTAATTTCAAAGAAGCTAGATAAAATTTGTCACTGCCATGTGCTTGTCACATGTAGCTTTACTTGGATATCAAAGATCTTGATTGATGACCCGACCAAAAGACCAGGTCATCAACTCCAAGGACCCAATGGGGTTGGGAGAACAGACCTGAGTATTTCTGGCCCTTTCCTCTTGTGGACTCCAGACAGCTACACTTTCCTGAGCCTCCATTTTGCTTCTCATCATTTCCATACTTTACGTGCTCCAACAAGGGATGGGAAGATCTGGGAGGTAACGGTGTAAGCAGAACAAATTGCAAACGCCACCCCTAACATGAGAGAAGCCTCACTTGAGTTCCTCAATTACTGTTGATTTGTCTTCATCGAAGCTGCCCAAATGGTAAAAGTTCAGACAGTGCTCTTCAACGGAGATGTGAAATCCCCTGGAGTGAAGGTTGGGGATTATCTCGGTGGGTAGAAGGCTCACCTAGCTTGAATGAAGTCCTGGGTTTGCTTTTCAGCAATGCACAAACCTAGGTATGGAGACAAATGCCTGTAACCCCAGCAGGTGGAGGCAGGCTGGTCAGATGTTCAAGGTCACCCCAAGAATCAGGCAGGACCCTGTTTCTCTGCAAGAAAATAACCCTGATGTCTACTCTTTTTTTAGGTTGGTGTCATGTTTTCTAGGAGAGTCTGATGGAAAGCCCACGATACAAGTTTTTAATTTCATTTAATTAAACAGATATTTGGGGATTACACATTATTATCCTGGTACTGTGTCTAGATATTTTAAAAGTCATTAAAATATTCTTTTCACGTCTTTGGACTAGGAAACAAGAAATGTTCTCAATACGATATAGAACTATTCCATTCTACCCTTGAACATTTATACGTTTATTATTTTATTTTAGAATATGGCATTTGCATGTTAAGTATAGATTTTTAAATCTGAAACATGATGTTTTATCTTTAACAAAGAACATTGTAGGAAATTCTCCAAAGAGAATTTGCAAGAAGTCACTTCATCTCACCAGAAGCCTTTAGAAGAAATACATGATCACCAATCCCCCCGGGGTTTGTATTCAAGAACTTCTATTCAATTCATATGTATATATAAAGATGAACAGACCACTAAGCTTTAATTTAATTTACAACATCTGTAAGGAGAAACTGCCGCGCATTTATCTCACTACAAAGAAACCTGCCTGATGAATGCTCTGTTCTTCGCTGGGACTTTGTAGGTACTTACATGGAAATGGAGTAGAACATAAAGAGTTTCATTTTTCTAGTTAATGGAAGGAATACCACAGGGGCATTAAAAAAAAAAAAAAAGCTTTACAAATGCCACGTAAATCTCGAAACGAGGTAGTAAGGTACTAAACAAAGGATGGCATCAACTACAAGAAAAAAAAAATAGAAATGGGGGTGGGAAAGACTTGGTGGCTCAGAAGCTTTTAAAACTTCTGAGCCAGGAAACCTCCTTCGCAGGGCGGGGAATGTCTTTGCTCTCCAGAGACCACTCCCAGCTACCCAGCTAAGTTCGTCTCAAGTTTTCCCTACCCTCCTCCATTCCTCGCTTGGGGGTTCATAGCCCCCAAACCCGGGGAGCCACTTGAGATTGCCAGCACAGGTACCTGAAATATGTCAGAACCGGAGACTGATGGCGTGTTTATTTTAAACGCCCCACGCCCCACATAGGCCGTATCTGTAGACAACTCTTCGGGAATTCGAAGGACGGCTAGAAGCTCACAGTCTATAAAAAGAACAATAGTAAAACGCAGCGCTCCTCGCGTTCCTTTGCGCCCAAGGGTTCTCGAGTGGCGCGGAGAGCCGGAGCCCTGCCGGGGGCCGAGAGCCGGAGCCCGGAAAAGGCGCACTGCCCCTTTAAAAGGCCGCGCATCTCCAGGCCGGCCTTCCTCCCCGGGGCTCCAGCTGTGATTGACGCTGGGCGGCGAGAGGAGGCGCCTGGCGCTAACAAAAGTCCGGCCCGCGGGCGAGCAGCGCCGGGCCACAAGTCTCCGCTCACTCGGGGCATCGCAACAAGTGGCCGCCGCGCCCTCCCCGGGGAAGCCGCGGACACACGGGGGTGCAGGGAGGAAGCGGCGGAGCGGGACAGCCCGGGGCAGGCGCGGCTCAGCGCGCACGGCTGGGGACCGCGGAGGCGCATGGGGACCCCGCGGCGGCGGTGGCGCGGCGAGCCTAGGGGCGGCACCGGGGCGCGGGCTCTGCGTCGCGCAGCTCCCTCGCTCCTGGAGCGCGGATTCTGAGATTCCCCAGTGGCTGTCCTGGACCCGGCCTGCCACCCCGTGGGTGCCTGGAGAGGACCTAGTACTCCCCGCTCCCGCCGCAGAGCAGGGCCGTCCCCTCCCAGATCGGCCCACAGAAGGGGCATGTGCAGCTAACGGTCCGGTCCTGACCGCTTTCCTCTGCCCCGCCGCCGCCTAGGAGGTGCGCCCCAGCTATGCAGTGTCCAGGGAGACGGCGGGCATGACGGCGACAGGATGGGCGCGAACAATGGCAAACAGTACGGCAGTGAGGGTGAGTGGGCCGAACGTCTCCCCGACTCCAGGATCGCGCCCCCTCCCTTTCCTCTCGTTCACAGCTCAGGCGCACCCTACTTTGGTGCGATTGGGGTTGTCGTCTTCCCTCTGGGCTCTGCGTGATCAATCTCTGGTACCTCGAGGATGCCTTTCCACCACCGGGGTCCCTTAAGCAATTTTCCAGGTTGTCTTTAGGACTGCTCAAGTTGCATTTCTGCTGTGTTTCTTTCTGAACACATGTGCCTCAACTTTCCTTCCCTGCGCACCTTGGTGTAGGTGACGGTTTGGCAGAGAATTGAAGCAGTGAAACTTTCCCAGGCCTTTGTGCTTCAGTCCCCTGGACTTCTTCGTACCAGGAAAAAACTTCTGGAAGAAGTTAAGCTTCCATTCTTTGCTAACTGCCCTGGTCTGACAGCTCCGTGAAACTAACCACCTATGGGTCCCGCGAGGCACAGAGTGGCTGGGAGCTTTGTCTGGGCTCTCTCGAGGCTCAAGACAGGCAGAGCACCATCTGTTACTTGGGGCTGGAAATTGCACAGAAATATTGCCTGTCAAGTGAGAACTTGGAAGTTGGGGAAACTTTAAACTCCGCCTACTCCTAAAGGGATGATGGATGTGTGGGTTGCCTTTTCAGTCCCGCCTCCCCCACTTTGCATAATACCGGTAGTGTTTTAACTCCAGTGATTAACAGCATGTCCCTGATACTCACACAGCCAAGACATGTTCTACAGTTCAAGAGTTAAGGTCTGTATCTAGTGAACATGGCTGGAGGGCGTGAGGAGACGACAGGGTTTGGCCTTACAGCCTTTCCCCAGAGCACAGGCGATTACAAAGGAGGGGGCCAGCCCTTGCAGACTGGTAGGAATGCAGAATAGCTATTCAGCATGTGGTGGTGAGGACGCCCTTATCAGCTTGCTCAAAACTTGGGGTCTCTCCCTGTTTGTCTCTGTGTACATTTCTGAGCAACTTTGTTAAGTTATACTAAAAGCAAAGCCCCGGAAAAAAAATCCACACGATTAAAAAATCATTTTCTTTCCAGACCATCATGTTTTGAATTCCATGTATACGTATATATTTTCTACATACACAGATGTACTTGTGCATATATATGCATATAATCATATTCTTGTCCTGGGCAGATACATGAGAGAAATATTTTGGAAAAAAAAAAGTCTTTTTAGACAGCAAGTGTGACAGTGTGCCAGAAAAGATTATTGGAGAACCTTGGCCACTCAGCTCTCCAAAGGTATTCAAGTTAATGTTTTTAAAATGTGTGGAGAGAGGAACAATGAAGCCTCTTCACTTTGAGTCATCAAAAGGTGTTCAGTAACTGTCAGGGTACCTGTCAGCCGTGTGTTTGATGGGGGGGAGGGTGGAGGGAGCATGGTCAGAGAAGTACAAGAGTCCTTACTCTGCTTCTCCAACTAAACCATTGCAGGGCTCTCCTAATCCTCTGTAATGTGTTCTTACATCTCGGCATATCATTGTATCATACAGTGTGTGGTATATGACGACTTCCTGTCTGAACAGCAGAATTTTCAACCCTTGGGAGAAAAAGGGAGAGACAGGGAACTAATGTTCTCCAGCTGTTACCCGTAAATGCTACCTCTGCGTTTTCACTTCGGTGCAAGTCAAGTTTTTCTGGGATCAGATTTAGATACACTGTAGACTTCTTATAGGAATAAAAGGGGGGAGGGGAACCTCGGGCTCAGCTGATCAGATGAGACCAATCGGAATGTTTGTGAGTTTTGGCTGGAGAGTCACACTGTGTTTAGTTTTCATCAAGTAATTTCAGATGAGTCAAGATTCCTCTGTGATAGACGAGAAAGAAAACAGAGAAACCCCAAGTAACATGACCTCAGACCTCCCCCTCCTTTTCCTTCCTCTCTGTTATACTGTGGCCCCTTCTAAATAAGGTTTTATTTATAATTAGGTTATATTAAATAAACCTGTATTGTGGCATGATATAAACCTGCACAGAGATGCCTCTTATAATATGATTGTGGCATCTTACTTATCCAAAGTATCAAATTCAAAAGAAAGTGAAAACTGTACCTACTAATTTTATCTGTTATCAGAGAAGACAGAATCAAGGCAGTTTTCTGGATTCAGTGCACCTGAGGTATAATACACGTCAAACACAAAGAGTGTTTATACGTAGACTGTGTAGACTATGTTTGTTCAAATATATATCAGTGATGTTTGTGTATGCTTCAAAACTACAGGTCTATATTTCTATAATTCCTGACAGTTGACAGTATGTACAGCCTCTGGATATTGCAAATATCATTGAATTATTAAAATTTTTAATTGTGAGTATTTTATGGATAATCTTACTTTCTCTTGGGAAATACATTATACGTCTTTAAAGGTCTTTGTAAGGCTACCTTAACAGGTGCAGCGGGACAGCACCTTCCACCTTGCTGTGATCCAAGGGTAGGTGGGGTTAACATTGCCTGGAAGACTGTCAGAAACTGGAGTTTGGAGTTCCTCGTGGAACTACACACTCATCATATACTGTGTGCATTACAGTTTTTAGATCTTCTCGTGAGAAAACAGAGCATCCACTTGGGAATTTGGAGCTTGATTCCAACTTCACCTCCTGGGGTCTTTTCCAAAGTGAAGAGAGTGGTTCTCAGTAGCAAGATTTGCCATTATCTCTTCGCTAAGTCGACGGCCATTTATTTCATTTTGCTTTCTTAATGTCTTCTAATGGGCCACTTGGAGAGGGTTAGCCTTGTGAAGACCTATTAAAACTAATAGGCAAGTGAAGACTTAACTGCTAAGAAATCAATAAATACCAACCCCCTTTCTCCTCAATATTGCTCACTTATTCCCACTTGTCCTTCTAATTCTGGTACCTAAGTCTTCTCTTCTTTTTTGAGATCAAAGATATCTGTGAATCCATAATGAGTGATTTCAGAGTGTTTTATTTCCCTAAATTCTTAGTGAACATTCAGATTAATACTCTGCCTTTAGGCTGGCCTTGGATTTTGCTCCTGGGGGAAAAACTTACATCCTTAATCTTTAGCTTTCTAGAAACATAAGCCAATGTCTAAATGATTAGTATGTTCTGGTAAATTCTTTCATGAGAGACCATTATTTTTGTTCTTTATCTGGTTTCAAAAAGTATAACTTACAGCCTATGCAGAGAAAAATATGAAGGATGAGTTGGGGGGATTCAAAGGCATTAGAACCATTAGCTTTGACTTCAGTTAAGCCAAATAAACAAATCTCAGTTCAAGTAGGAAGAGGGGAGCTGCCTTCTCTGCCTTTTAAGGCTTTGGTGTTATGTTTATTCTGTGTCTACAGGTCAAAGGCAGTAGCACTCCCCCTGTTAACAGCTCCTTTGCAAAGCCCTAGGTCTTGTTGAATTGGAGCTGGAGAGGTCACAGCCATGGGGCTTGACCCCTGGTAGCTTTTGGGTCTAGTAGGGCCTTTTTTACCATCTCAGATGAGGAGAGCCAGTTGCTTGAGAGTGTAAGTCATCACAGATCCATCACCACCTGGGAAATCTTGAAATAACAGTAATGGCAATTAGCACTTGCCAAAGTCTACTGTATCTGTTCTTGATTGTAAGCACCTGGCATGCACTGTCTCCCTTTATCCACAAAGTCATCCTATAGGGCAGGGTTTCCTATGTCTCTTTCCTACAGTAATACTGGCCAATTCCAGAGTCATTGATTTTGTCAGCTAATAGATATTTTCCTTGCCACTGTGTGCCAGGAGCTCTTAGGACCTTGTGTGCATTGTTACAAAGGACACAAAGAAGGACAGGTAACAGAGAAACCATATGGTATGCTGCAAGGGGCTATAAAGTCTCTTAATGAGAAATTTGGCAGGCTAAGATAAGATATAGTTTTAGTCACTGTGTGGCCTCATTGGAAAGTTGGAATTCATACCAAGATTTACAGGAAGTTGGATATGGAGTTTTGGAGATCCAGGTAGACTATTGCTCTTTAAAATTGCTGCCTTGTTTCCATCCGCTGAAACTCTCTAACCAAATGTGATATCCTGGGTAGACTATAAGCTTTGAAAAGTTGTTTCTCACAGTTTTAGAACCTGAAAGTCAGAGAGCAGCTAGCCCGTCTCCATGCCTAGGTTCTGGTGAGAACCGCTCATGGAGGCTGTCGATGCTCACTTCTACCTGTGTCCTGGCAAGGCCACTGAGGAAACAGGTTTAGCTAGCTATCTGGACTGTTAAAAGTACGAAAATTCTGTCCATGAGGATTTTGGCCTTCACATATGCACACTGGATTCACTTCCTAATACTAACATATCGCAATTAAAGTTTCAAAAGCTATATTTTGGGAGTCTATGGGCATCCGCATCTTTGAGTCTACTGAGAGTATAACACTCACTGTCAGTCCTGTATAGTAGCTGCTACAGTCTGACCACTGGATGGAGAATTTCTCAAGATTCGTGGTGTAATAGGTTTCATCTACTTGTGCATTCCTCTAAAGTTCTGTCTTCTTTTTCTTGGGCTGCATATCAGAATTGTGAATGTTGACCTGGACATACTGTAAATATCAGCATAACTCTGCAGATAGAAGCAGGTTTTCATCCTTTGCCTGAGGCAAATAATTCCATTGTGATGCAGATCAGAAGATAAAGGATAGTGTTCCAGTGTTTGGTTAAAATTAAAGCATCTTTACTGTGCTGCTGGCAGTTCCACACTTGGTCTGGTGGTGAGCAGCTTCGGAGAATTGGAGATCTTTTTTTGAACACTCAAAATAAAGGTCTGAAAGGAGAGGCGGCTTTCTTTCCACGTTGGGAACCAAGCCTCAGCTCTGTTTTAACTCCCTCTGCCACTTGAACAGAACGAATTTTGAATTGAGTCATTAAGAATTGCCCCTCCTCTGTCCTGTCTTTGCTGTGTCACCTCTGGGTTTTGGTTGGCTGTTCGAGCTTCTGGGGGTGTTTACAATGTATGTAAGTTGTAGGGAGTTAGGTTTGACTCTTATGAAAGAAGCCCCGTGCAATAGTTGAAGCTGACTT